TGTATTCTGCTACATGTTTTTGCTAAAAAAAAATCCCAATACATGTAAATCAATTGGCTTATGTGAAATTATAGCATTTACAAATGGCAGTATATATACACTGTAAATTTGTTCTATTTTTATTTTTTACTAGTAATGGCAGCAATCAGTGACTTATAGCGGGACTGCAGTGGGCAGCATTCTGATACTGGGGGGAACTGACTTGGTGTCACTGACATCCCCAGTGACACCAATGCAGTGATCAGTGCTAATAAAAAACACTGACACTGTACTAATGACACTGGGCAGGAAGGGGTTAACATGTGGGTCAGTCAAAGGGTTAACTGTGTGCTGCTTTACTATGAGGGCTGTGTGTGTTTCACTGTAAGCACACTGCTTTGTATGGCTCTGCTATGCAGAGCCATACAAAACAGTGTACAGGAGCTGACAGGGGAGAGATCTGTATTGTTTGCCCTGTCGAAAATCTTCGGAGATCGCCGGGTACTGGCAGGGAATCACCAGCGGGGACCTGGTGATTGACAGCTGAGGCAGCGAATGGCAGCGTGGGTAGGGCATGTGCACGCCCCCTACCCAGAACTGCAAAATCACATATATATATGATTTTCCGCACCTGTGCCACCGTGTAGCAGTATTTATGCTATAGGACGGTGCAGAAGCGGTTAAAGGCAATTTTTAAAAAAACAAACGTCATACTTACCTGCTCTGTGCAGTAGTTTTGCACAGAGCAGCCCTGATCCTCCTCTTCTTGGATCCCCTGCAAACACTCCTGGCACCTTCCTCCTGCCGAGTGCCCCAAAGCAAGCAGCTTCCTTAGTAGGCACCCAAACAGGCTTGCTCTCGAGCTGCTGCTCTGTGTGCCCATTCAAAAACAGAGCCATGACTTGGCCCCACCCCCTCTCTCCTTATTGGCTCACTGGCTGAGATTGACAGCAGCGGGAGCCAATGGCTCCCGCTGCTGTCTCAGCCAATGAGGAGGGAGCTGAGGCTCTCATGCACATTGAAGGCTCTTGATGGGGCTCAGGTAAGTATTGGGGGAGGGGCTTATCCATTTTTTTTGTTTCCCCCTCCGCAGTACTTTTTGGGGGGTTGGGGGTAGCGGGTACATGGTTTTGACAGGTACCCGCTCCCACTTCTGGTCAGATGCGCTGCATTGATCTGAGTCAGAATTTCGGCTCCGCTCCTCTCCCCACAGCCTTCTGGGACAATTCACAGGTTCCAGTAAACTGTGTGATGCACAAAGCACAGCAGGAAATTGGCTTTGAAGTTGCAAGCCTTCAATTTTGGTTTCCCTTATTGAAGATGCCAGCACCTGCACCTGAAGCTGATTGAATAATCGGCTTGGGTGAGGACATCGCTGGATCTCTGGACAGGTAAGTGTCCTTATATTAAAAGTTAGCAGCTACAGTATTTGTAGCTGCTGTCTTTTAATGTTTTTTGGGGAGCCTGGAGCTCCACTTCCAACTTTATTCCAATGATGTGTGTTCCAGCAGGACTATGCCCAAGTGTACAAAGCCAGAGCTATAAAGGCGTGATTTGAAAAGTTTGGTGTAAAATAAATTGAGTGGCCTGCATAGAGCGATGACTTCAATCCTGTATAACACCTTTAGGATGAAATGCGAACTGTGTGCTAGGTCTATACTGGTGCCTAACCTCACAAATGTTCTTTTGGCTATGTTAACACAGATTTCTACAGACACACTCCACTATCTTGGAAAGACCTTGAAAAAGAAAGTGAAGGTTGTTATAAATGCAATAGAGGGGAGAACAACTCTAGTGATGGGAGGTCTAACAAGCTTGAAGAGTTTTTTTTTTTTGGCTTTCTGAGCAGAAAAAAAGATTCAGTGTTTGTGAAATGTATCTATTTGTCTATTTCTAGCTATGCTAGTGTTACGTGACAGCGGAACAGTGGTGTGCAATTATAGATGAGATGCATCTTTTCCCCTTATAATATGATATGCCATCAAAAGCCCTATTTCAAAAAAAAACTTCCTAGAAATTTTTATTTGAAAAAAAATGTCTGTATAGACAGTATTTTTTTCAGTGTTGTCAGCATTTGTAACAACTAGTTTCAGATTTATTGAGGTTTTTTTTCTTCCTTTGTAGATTCAGCAGTACTCTAAAACTGCATTATACTGCTTTCATGAATAGTAACACCACAACAGCACTGTACATGTTTATGCCAAATTCTGACCCTACCATCTGAATGTCGCAGAAACCAGTCTGCCCATTCTCCTCAGACCTCTGACATCAACAAGACATTTTCATCCACACAATTGCCATTCACTGGATATTTTCTCTTTTTTGGACCATTCTCTGTAAACCCTACTGATGGTTGTGCATAAAAATTCCAGTAGATCAGCAGTTTTTGAAATATTCAGACCAGCCCGGCTGGCACCAACAAGCATGCCACATTCAAAGCTGCTTAAATCCCCTTTCTTCCCCATTCTGATGCTCGGTTTGAACTTCAGCAAGTTGTCTTCACCACGTCTACATGCCTAAATGCATTGAGTTGCTGCTATGTAATTGGCTGATTAGCAATGTGTGCTACCAAGCAATCGAACAGGTGTACCTAATAAAGTGGCTGGTGAATGCAATTCAATAAATCATAAAATCTTCAGTACAGTCTCAGTCAGGCCCGGACTGGGACAAAATATAGGCCCAGGCATTTTGGACTGAGCAGCCCAAAGTCCGGGGACCCTTTCCTCGGAGCCCGGTGGTGGAACGCCAGGGCGCGGTCACACGAGCGACCGTTGTGACCCTGGTAGTTCCACCACTAGTGTCAGTAGGTTTTTTTTGTTTTGTTTTTTTTTACAATTTTATTTTTTTTTTTTTTACATTTTTTTGTAGGAGAGAAGGAAAGTGAGAAGGAGAGAAGGAAAGAGAGAAAGGAAGGAAGAAGGGGAAGAATGGAAAGAGAGAGGGAAAGAAAGGGGGAAAGGAGTAAGGAGGGAAAGAAGGGAGTAAGAAGGGAAAGAAGAAAGGATGGAAAGATGGAAGGAAAGAGGGAAAGAAGGAAGGAGGGAAACATGGAAAGAAAGAGGGAAAGAAGGAAGGAGGGAAAGAATGGAGAGAAACAGGAGACAGAGAGGGAGAGAGAAAAAAAAGAGAGAGAATAAAGAAGGAAAGAGGGAGAGGAATGGAGAGAAACAGGAGACAGAGAGGTAGAGAGAAAGAAAGAGAGAGAGAGGAAAGAGGGAAAGAAAGGAGGAAAAGAAGGAAGGAGGGAAGGGAAAGAAAGAAGGAAGGAGGGATGGAAAGAAAGAAGGAAAGAAAGAGGGACAGAAGGAAGGAAGGAAAGAGGGAAAGAAGGAAGGAGGGAGGGAAGGAAAGAGAAAAAGAAGGAAAGAGGGAAGGAGGGAAAGAATTAAAGATGGAAAGAGGGAAGGAGGGAGAAAAAGAGGAGACAGAGAGGGAGAAAGAGATAAAGAGAAAGAAAGAAAGAGAGGGTGAAAAAGAAAGAAAGAGAAAGAAGGAGGGATAGAAAGGAGGGAAAGAAAGAAGGAAGGGGAGGCAAGAAAAAGGGAAAGAAGGAAGGAGGGAGAGAAAGGAGATAAACAGGAGACAGAAAGGGAGAAAGAAAGAGAGAGAGAGAAGGAAAGAGGGAAAGAAGGAAGGAGGGAAAGAAAGAAAGAGAAGAAAAGAGGAGAAGGAAGGAGGGAAGGAAAGATGGAGGGAAGGAAAGAAGGAAGAAGGGAGAGAAAAGAGAGAAACAGGAGACAGAGGGAAAAAGAGAGAAAGAAACAGAAAGAAAAAAGGAGGGAGAAAGGAAAAGAAGGAAGGAAAGAGGAAGGGAAGTAAAAGGGGAAAGAAGGAAGGAAAAAGGGAAGAAGGGAAAGAAGAAAAAGGAGAGAAACAGGAGACAGAGCAGGAGAAAGGGGAAAAGAAGGAAGATGGGAAAAGAAGGAAAAGGGGAAAAGAAGGAAGGAGGAAGGAAGGAAGGAAGGAAGAAGAGAAAGGAGAGAAACAGGAGACAGAGAGGGAGAAAGAAAGAAAGCAATGAAGAGAGAAAGAAAGAGGGAGAAAAGGAAGGAAAGAGGAAAAGAAGGAGTGAAGGAAGGAGGGAAAGAAACAGGAGACAGAGAGGGAGAAAGGGGGAAAGAATGAAGGAGGGAAAGAAAGGGAAAAGAAGGAATAGAGGGAAAGAAGGAAGGAGGGAGGAAAAGAAAGAGGGAAAGAAGGAAGGAAAGAGGGAAGGAAGGAAGGATGGAAGGAAGGAAAGATGGAAGGAGGGAAGGAAGGAAAAAGGGAAAGAAAGATGGAAAGAAGGAAGGAAGGAGCTAAAGACACAGCTCATCATGTGGTAAAAGGCTGCTGTGATTTACCTCATCATGTGATCAGCTATGTCCATAGAACACAGCGATCATGGAGAGCCGCTCGGTGCGCAGCACGTTCTGGGAGGACGTCATATGATGTCCTCCCAGAACTGGACAACTGTGCTTATTTAGCTATAGCACAGTTGGCAAGTGGTTAAAAATGTAAACAAATACTGACCCTGACCCTTGACCCAAACACTAACCCTGGCACTGACCTAGATCAAACCTTGATCTGGGATTTTTTTTTATTGTTTTTATGTATTTATTTCATACACACAGTTTTTTTTTTTCCTCTCTGAACAGACAGAGAAATACAATGTATCTCTCCTCCATTCAGAGAGAGAGAAAACACGGGGGCGGGCTTCACAGTGACTGATCATTGTGATAGCCAATCAGAGGCTATCACAGCGATCAGGCAACCCGTAATCGGGAGTTCTGGGTCCTGATCGTTAGAAAGGGACCCAAGGCTTTCAGTGAAACCGTGCAGCACACTCCCAGCAGGAAGACAGGTACGCAAATATGTGGCCCCACAGAAAAAAGCCCAGTCCAGTAGGGCCACATTATTTGCATACAGTCAGCTAGAAGGGGTTAAGTATGGTCACTCAGTGCTTGGGTCCCTCATAACGGACTTATTAGAACATTCCCGCACAGATAAACCCCAAAGATGCTTCCTAATGACACTGTATGATCCTTTATACCAGAGGTATTGAATTAAAATTCGAGGTCCAGTCACTAAAATTTTCTTCTGGCCGAGGTCCGAGTAGGGTGTTCCCATCAGTGTTCCCCCTTACATTAGGTATAGCCATCAGAATGCAACTTTACATCATGTATTCCAATCACATCAGGAGTGTTACATCATTGTCCTCATCAGAGTGCCCCTTTACATCATGTATCCCCATCACATTGCCACCTTACATCAGGGATTCCCGTCAGAGTGCCCCCTTACACTCAAAGTACCCCTTTCTATCATATTTCCCCATCCGAGTGCCCTTTTACCTCATATTCCCCATAAGAGTGCCCCTTTCCATCACATGTGCCCATCAGAGTTCCCCTTAACATAAAATGTATCCATCAGAGTGCTCCTTCATATAAATGTGCTCAGCAGAGTTTCCCTTGATATAAATGTGCCCATCAGTGCCCCTTAACATAAAATAATGGGCATGCTGATGGGTACATTTTATGTTAAGGGGCACTCTGATGGGCACATTTATATTAAGGGGCTTTCTGATGGGCACATTCTATGTTGTGCCCATCAGAGTGCCCCTGTAAGACTACACCCTGCCTTGAGGGCAGACAGGAGCTGTGGCAGCATCCTTGCTGGACGCTTGTGTACAGGCAGGGTGCGGGAGCTGGAGAGACAGTGAGCTGAAAGGGGCAGGGCGTACACGTGATGTCATGTTGTTGTGATGACCGCCCTGCTCAGCGGCGGATCTGTCGTTGCGGGCTGGCGGTCCGGGCGGCAATGCTGCTGGGGCCGTTCGAGGACCACAGTCCGCCATTTAGTGACCGCTGCTTTATAATTATAAGCTGCACTCAATGATTCTTCTCGGCCGCACATATGAACAGAGAAACCACCGAACACAGTGTTTATCCTTTAAAACAATGTATTACCTTCTTAAACTTTATTTCACTTGTGAAAAAACTTTGTAATGCTTTGTCCTAGATTGTAAGCTCCAAGGAGCAGGGCCCTCGAACCTCTCGTGTATTGTTACTGTATTGTCTCATGTACTGTCTCCCACTATAATGTACAGCGCTGAGCAAACTTTTTGGCGCTATATAAATACTGTATAATAAATAAATAATAATACCAGAATCATAATGCAGCACGCAGTTTTGGTGAGCTTTCAGAAAGTGCACCAAACATACGGGACATAATATAACTGTATGGGAAAGTGCATCTAATCCACTCCAAACACACTGGTAAGCTCTGCTGCACCCACAGTGCAGGAAAATGCACCACAGCAGTGAGAAAGCAGGCTTACTTTGTTATCCTAAGTAATGAATAAGTTATCGCCAAATAAACAGGCCTATATCAGAATTGTAAAAATTGCTCTGGTCCATAGTGTGTTAACAGGTGTGAGAGACAAAGTGGTTAAACCATTTTTTTTTTCTGAATTTATTGGCAACAACAGAAGTAACATTTCTGAGGATGAGATATGAAAAAATACTAGTTACACTCACTGGTAACGGTGTAACTATAAACTCTTCCAGGATGGCACACGAGCGATGACTAGCTCCACCTGACAGGAAACCCAATCAAAAAAGCATAGTTTAAATTCCCTGCCTTTCCCCTCACTTATGCAAGAGTATCACTATACCCTAGTGCACAAAGGGCATTTTGCCCAAATTGTTCAAACATAAAATATCGGTGGGAAGTAGGTCTGCCATCAGAAAGATTTTCTAGAAACACCGTTACCGGTAAGTGTAAGTGGTATTTTTCTCCAGTCATCTTCCACACCTGAGACGAGAAGCAAGAAGTTCAGGCCTACCTCGGGGGGGAACCACTGCCTGTAATACTTTTCTTCTGAACGCTAGGTCCTGAGGTGACAACAGCTCCACTCTGTAGTGTCTCACGAAGGTGTCCTGGTTTGTCCATATGGCTGCTCGGCAGATCTGTTCTATCGAGGCTCCAGCCCTCTTTGCCCAAGAGGTCGCCGGCGATCTTGTACGATGAGTCCTCGGGTGTAAGGGAACAGTAACTCCTGATTGCTCATAAGCTAAAGAAATGGCTACTCTGATCCATCTAGCTACCGTCATTTGGACAACTGCTGTCCCTTCCTGGGATTGTAAAATAAAACTAAAAGATTCAACTTCCTGAAATCTCTTATATCTAAATATGTCAGCAGACACCGTCTGACATCTAAAAAATGAAACGTCTTTCCTCTCATTCTTCGGGTTCTTACAGAATGAAGGTAGAACAATTTCTTGTGACCTATGAAAATGTGTGGCCACCTTTGGTAAACAAAGTGGATCCTGCCTAACCACCACCCTGTCTTCCAACACTAATCGAAAGGGCTCCTTGATCGACAGACTCTGTAGGTCACCTATCCTCCTAGCCGTTGTGATGACTAAAAGGAAGGCTAACTTGAATGACAAACTTCTAACAGAAATCTGTGCCACTGGCTCAAAAGGTGGATTGGTTACAGCCTCCAAAACTAAAGATAAATCCCAGAGTGCAAACCTATGTATCTTAATGGGGGTCACTCTTTCCCTGGCCACCAAAAACCTTTTAACCGAAGTTTCCAGCACGAGCCTCCTGTCAAGAAAAACTGATAAGGCTGCCACTTGCACTTTGAGAGTGTTCATGGCTATCCCCTTATCCAGCCATTTGCAGGATGTCCAGGACTACAGGAACTGTGGTAAAGGAACCCCCCGTCTTGATACAAAGTAGAAAACACTCTCAAAACCTTTGTATACATTTTTCTAGTGAAAAGCTTCCTAAGGAGGAGAGTCTCAATCACCCTCTCAGAACACTCTTTTTCTAAGGATCTCGCTGTCAAGTACCAGGCCGTCAGGAAAACAAAATCCTGGATTGGGTTTTAGGACTAGCCCCTGCAAGAGTAGATCCTGTCTTGACTGGGAGATGCTGCTGGGGGGGGAACACTGACCACCTCTTCAAGGTAGTGAACCAGGCTCATCTGGGCCACCAAGATCAGGCTGCAGCCTGACCAGCTTAATTTGTGCAGTACCCACGGGATCAAGGCCAGATGGAGGAATGCATATGCCAGACCGACGTCCCACTCTTGGGACAGTGTGTCCACCCACTCGGACCCCTGCTCCGGGGTCAGAGAAAAATAATGCCCCCACCTTTCTGTTCCTCCTGCAAGCAAAAAGGTCTATTTCTGGCCTGCCAAAACCTGACTTAGCTGCAAAAAAAACCTTGATGTTCAGTTCCCATTCTTCTTGGCAGATCAGCTGCCGGCTGAGAAAATCTTCATATGTCTTGACACAACCCTTTATGTGGACCATTGACACAGAAGAAACCCTGCTCTCTACCCATCCCAGAACCTCCTGGGCAAGGTCCAGGAGCGTCTGGGATCTGGTACCCCCCTGATGATTCATATATGCTACCATTGACATATTGTCTGACAGAACCTGGGCTTCCTTTCCCAGAATCCTGTTCCTGAGTCTTCAGAGCGTGACCCATGGCCAGAAGCTCCCTGTAATTGGAGGATGTCCCCCTCCCAACCAAAAAAAAACGCTCCCACTACTTTCTTGCTCTTTTCTTGGGGTAAAAAGAACTTCTGGAGTCCACAGCATAATCTAGGAACACCTTGGTCTGGGATGAAATCCACGAGGACTTTTTCTTGATTGACAATCCACCCCAGAGACTCCAAGGTGTAAATTACCTTCTCCAAGTCTCTCTAGACTTGCTGATACGAGTGGCCATAAATCAACAGGTTGTCCAGGTATTGGATTAAAGTGACCCCCTGGAGGTGAAGATGAACTACCACCTTGGCCAGGACTTTGGTAAATAATCTTGGACTGGCTGCCAGCCCAAAAGGAAGGGCTCAAAACTGCCAGTGCTTGATCCCTTACTTGGTGAGGATGGCAAAAAAGTGAGAAGGCTTGATGTTCCGGGGCAATGGGTATGTGGAGGTAGGTGTCCCTGAGGTCCACAGTGGCCATAAAGACACCCTTGAGCAGATGTTTACATACACTGTAGATACTTTCCATACGGAAATTTTTTGCCCATGGTAATCCAGTTAACCTTCATAGGTTTATGATCAATTGGAATTTTCCTGAGGGTTTTGGAACCACAAAAATGTGGAAATAAAACCCCCAGCAAAGCTGATCCACTCGAATTGGGATAATTACCTCCTGTTCTGCTAGCTCTCTGACCCCACCCAAGAGACCCTCTGCTTGTCCCTGGGAAGATGCGTTAAAAGAAAGCCTAAGAACTATATAAACTTAAACTGATACCCTTAACTGCAGGATGTACGGACTACCCAAAATCCTCTCCCACTGCAGGAGGAATCTGGATAGCCTTCCAACCACCCCGAGATTCATGTCATTTGGGATCCTTACAGGTGGGTTTCAAGCCAGAGAAAAGGAGACTCCCTTTCTGCTTGCCCTTGTTAACCCATTTCTTAGCAGAGTCCTTCCTAGATCTCTGTTGGCTGATTAAGGGGGCCCCAAATAAAACTTCTTCCCCCTATCTTTAGTCATAATGGGAAAACGTTTCCCCTTTTCAGGAAACCAAGACAAAACCTGATCTAACCCACATCACCGTCCTAGCCGAATTGAGAAGGGCCGCTGCCTTGGCTGATGTCCTGACTATCTCAACCGCAGCATCCGCCATGTAGGCAACCGCCTTATTGACTACTTCCAGAGACTCCAACACCTCCTCTAATTGGGTTTCCCCCTTTTTCTTGGTACCCTGAGAGACGTCTTGGGTCCATGTTTAAATAGAAAGCCAGAAAACAATCCTGCAGTGGAACATGAACCTACAGTATGACTCTCAGAGAGAGAAGGTTCTGTAAGGCCTCACAAAGTGTGAAGCTGGATCATTCCAAGAGGGCCATTACATGCAGATGCCCCAAAGCAGTCGACTGTTCCAGCAGCCCGAGCAGCAGGAAAGCTTTAATAGGAAAAAAGCCATTCCAACAGAGCATCTCTGTCATTTACAGTGTATGCAAGCTTGTGGAGCTGAAGAAAAAGATGCTTATTAACCATTGTGGTTCTGAAAAAGTGTAATTTTCTTCTTCCAGTTCTTATCCAGGAATGCACCTAGAAGTGTCCCCCAAGAAATAACTATTGTATAAAAGGGTAAGCCAAAGCCTAAAAGTGGAAAAATGGGCCTACTAAGGTTCAGAAGGTGCTACTACAACAGAGTTGTGCCAGTAATCAGTTACCAGAAGACAGGGTGTTTGCTGCATGCAGCGCAGCATTCCCCCCCAGTAATAGTTGTACCCATGTTTTAAGAGATGGGGATATACGGTAGCTGTAGCAGTTAATCTCCAATGTTTGCTGGCCCTGGGCCACAAAGTGTCTTTAGCCACAGAGAGGAAATAATGGCTGCAGTGACAGATTTGTTGGCCATGGTATGAGACTGAAGGTCAGTTACCATGAACAAAAGTCTTCTGTGAATT